GCTTGATGGTTTCAAGTAAGCTCAGCTTTGAATGACATCTGAAAACCTCAGAAATGTAAATCGGGGTTTGCCATGTGCGATTAGACAATGTCAGGCAGGAGTGAACAATTCACATAAAAGATGGGGAAAAGGAGTGAAAAATTCCTCCTCGTAGGGTGCTGCTTTACACCCAAAATCAGCAATTCCAGGACACTGAAAATTTCTCCTCCACTCACCACCTGGGCGTTGTTCCTGAGCACGTGTTGTGTGCGCTTCACAAAATACATCTCTTGCAATGGAATCAACCGAAAATTGTTCCGTCTTGCTTTTTAAGCACATCTCTCGTGTTTGATAACCCCGTAATCCCATGCAATTAAATGAGCACATGCTGAAATCTCTTATATTACCAACAGCTCTTGTAGGGTGTGGCACAATATTCTACTTTTATATAACTGTGGGCAGAGCAAACATTCTCTTTACGAGCAACCACGCGCCCCCAAGTCAGTACTGTTATGCCAGCTTCGACATGTTATGCAAACCAGGATTTCGGTCACGCGAAGATTTGGCTCGACGTCAGCACATCTCAGCGCTGGATTGATACCTGCCCTCGGCTGACCAAATGGCGGACAAAAGAAGCCAAAATGTACGAGCAGATACAATTCTGTTTGTATTTGAGGTCCTAAGCTTAACGAAACGAGCAGTGAATGACTGTACTGAATAAACGGTCGGCGCTTCTCACTGTGTAGCACTTTAGCAAACTCTTTGAACCAATAGAGCCCAGAGGCTCTTCCAGAATCTTTTAGAGGCATACAAAAATGTTGAAGTGTCCCTGAAAGGACATTTCAGATCGAAATGGAGTCAAAATTTGCACCAACATATTCAACCTATGTGCGTTTAAGAATGCTCAGCAGTGCGTCATGACCGATTAGTGAGAAAAATCATGTTATATAGTCTTGAACGTGCACGGTCGCAAGTCCCAGGAACAAAAACCCCTAGGACGGCATTACAATCTCCATAGGCCCCGCGGCGCAGGTCCTGCGGCTAACTCTAGGCGGTAGCCAACAGGCGGGCAAAAATGACGAGGCTTTCGAAAAGAGTACCTCTGAACACTTAACGGAATCTATTCGCATGTTTAGAAAGCAGTCCCGGTTTATACGCGGAGTGACTTTTAGAGCACCCCGAACTTGTGCTGGTCTCTGGTGGTGAAGCTGGAAAAGTAAAGGCACAATCTTTACTTTTCGTGTTACTCTATCGGTTCAAAGGGTACCCTCAAATTTATGAGCGCGAAATTTCACCACAGCGTAATCTTTGAACGGTGCGACACGATTTTGAAAGACATACGAAAGCATAAGCTCATGACGGATCTTCTCGTGGGCCCAGCGTTAGCCGCCTGGCGTTATCTACAGCGGCCAACGGCGTTCGGTTTCATGGAAGCTGCAACCCTGCTCATGGCTGTTCTTGCTCGTGAGATTGTTATCACACAGGCTCATAACCTGTTTTGTTCTTTGTTTTATCGGTTAATTTTTCGAATAGGTGAGCATTCTCAGACAACCGTGGGTCGATCTTTTAATTTTTGAACTCATTTCGATCCGCTCTTTTGAACACTTAAAAGATTCCTTACCTTTCTCCGGGCCAGCTGCCCGTGTGTTACGCGTCAGGGGCACATTATCGTTTCCCGTCAACGACTGAAGGGGCATTCCGTTCCAGCGCAGGGCGTCTACTGGCTGCCATTCTAGCGACCCGGGGACGACATTGGCCCCCTCCTTGACGCGGAAGGCCCTCTGACCTGGGCAGTTGTCCACGTATGGACGCAGGAGCCCTCTTTGACGTAACAGGGTTGCTCATTGTCACAGTTGGTCAAATGGTTAGTACAGAGACTCCAGTTCGACCTGATGAAAGCTTGGGTGAAATGGGGTGGAGGGACTCCCGCTCGGTACTGTGACCTCTGTCTGCCACAGGGTACTTCATTTGTCTTATTACGAATTTTGACAAGAATTCCTCATATCTCCCTTTATTTTGAGAGACTTCGACGCAAGCAAGACACGCTACGCAGATTTATCTTTCGTATTTTTAGCTTCGTTTGTTTCATGCCTTCTTTAAATCTAGCATTTATTTGCCCCCCCCCCCCCCTTCCTCTAGAGCTACCATTATGTTACGCGGGAAAAGTGACTCTTGGCAACCTCCCCATACTGGCAACCATTATTTTACGCTGATTTCTTTTTGCATTCCGCTTTATTTGTGTACTTTTTGTGAATTCTATCACTCGGGTGACATCCCAAAACTGACCACCATTATGTCACGCACATTTCTTTTCGCATTTCGCTTACCACTGTTTTCTTTAACAATATTTTTTGTTGTCCGCCTCACCAGGGGCGAAGGCCTGTGATTTCTCTGCAACTTAAGTACAATCATCCGACGGATTCTTCACGGTATCACAAACGGAAATCACGATATTTCCAACGCCCATTTTATAGAAAAGCAACAAGCCCCATAACTGGCTTTATGACTTGGTGAAGCTGTTGTGTAGTTTACGGAGGTAGATACTCGCACGTGACGTTAATTACCTCCCGTATTGATCCTGTAATCGGAGCTATGCGACGCGCTCAGCTGCTCAAACTATATAGCATCGCCCGCCTATTGTTCTGGCAGGAAGGACGGCCGCCGCGGCACCCCAATAGTCCAGAGACAGTGACTACTGACTACACTCATTCATAATCCAACGCACAAAAGAAGCGCTCCTTGACACGCAATAGTCTTTTAACAAAGGCCATATTTGCTTGGATTGATCATGCATGCCACATTTAATTGGTGTCTGTTGGATCGCTTGCCCACCATTGATTCGCGGGCAATTATCATTGAGGTAATTCCCCGTCAGTAACTGGCTTACTGGGAGTGGCGGCAAATGGTAGCGAAAATATTGCCTCACCGATGATATATGGGCTTTTACGTAAAAAAATGCTCTCACCATAACATGTTGGGCGGCAAACACCCCTTTACAGGAATTTCGCAACTAGCATTCACACATCTCATAACATTTACATATATAACATAACATTACATAACATAGCATCATAATATCATCTCATTCGTAACGTCTCAAGCGTGCTTGTTTACCGGTCATATTTAAGAGGCCCATAGTGTGGTCACTGCGCACAGTCGGCAGGCTATGCGGGACCATCCGAGCCCCTCAATTATAAGCGGAACAGTGCGGCCACACACCCCGTATGCATCGGCATGTGTCTCCCGTTAACAGCAGTCACCTGGTGCAAGGTTCACCGTGCCGTTACCATGACAGCGTAACTCTCACCGTCTATCGCCACTTAATTAAGCCGAAATCACTCGTGGGGGTGCCGAATTTTTTCATCGGCTCGGAATACCTCAGCGCTACCCGTAAGAAGCCGTTACATATGTGACGTGCAGGCTCTCTCAGTCGCTAGCCGCGAGGCGTCATTGGGTAAAGCATCTGTGATGCATTTAGCCCGTCGTGAGAAAAAAAAACGTTCGATTGAACTCGTGGAAAACTTCAGGCCGCTCAAAGTTCAAAAATCCTGTACAGATTCTCTTTTCAACTTACACTGAATACAACACAAGGTTATATCAGATAACAATAGAACAGCGCTGGCGATCTCAAAGAGCCGCCGAAAGGTCGGCAATTCTCAAGCCGGAGTGGCATTCTGTAGAGGCGCAGACGCCGTGCGCCCAGCCTTCAGTGCACATCAGGCCGTGCGCCCAGCCGTCAGTGCGCACCAAGCCGATAGGGTCTCCACATGAATGTCGAACGAATCCCCCGAATATCCAACGAGCCTCCCTCCCTCCGACGGGAAGGCGTATTTAAAGGGCCACCCCCTATTGGTCGTTCTGGCGTGCACGTCCGGAGCGAGCGCGTCACAACACGGAACCGCCAAACGCAACGACATTACAAACGTATTTGCGCATTGCGAAGAATAGCATGTGGCCCACGGCGGATAGATACGGCGCGTGCCACATCTGATCCTAACCTTTTGAATCCCCCCCCCCCTTCCCCCCAGGATTAAAGATTACGGCACACACCGTCACCGCCGGAATAACCGTACTCGCACATTGAACAAACAGCATGTGGCCCACGGCGGATAGGTGCGCCGCGCCACAGAGAAACTCTGGCATTCGGGGTCTCGCCCTGTCCCTATTCAGTGAATTCTTCCCTTGCTGACTCGGGGTCTGTAACCGATACCCCACCTCCTATTAGGCACTTTGAGAGCCCTGAATGACACAGATGCCCCCTATTGTCGCGAGGGGCCCGACCAGCGCAAATCACGTGCCCCGGCTGTGATCCTTTTCGGGAAATGGCCTCCAGTGCTCAGATCGACACGGAGCCGACTTTTGGGTGTCGATGGTCTCTGACCCAAGAAGGACCGGGATTCTTGATGTGACCTAAAGTCAGTCTTCCCGACCTCCGGGCCCCTCAACATTCCAACTGGCTCTTGATCGTCGGTTTCGAAGGGCCTTTCGGGCCCCTCTTTGAGCCCCTCAAACACTACCTCTGGCCGACGTGGGGCCCCTCGCCAGCACAGGACCCCTGCTGGGAACTGTGTGTCCCTGACCAACACAGGGACAATTTCTGGACTCAGGGCCCCTACGAATCGAAGCACACAGGTCCGGCCTTTTCCATGCTTAGAAAATGGCACAAGCACAGGCACAGACGAGCACCGACAGGAACAGAGGCACAGACAAACACCCACACGGAGCAGGCTGTCCGGTACTCATGATGTCTGACTAGGGGTTCTCATCAAATCGTCGGGGCAATGGGCACAAAGATGAATGCGGTGCAGTCTAATGATTGATTTTACTACGCTAGGGGACGAAAATATCGCGAGCAGCCAGCTTTTGCTTAACCTGCCCTCCAGTAATCGTAAGCACAATGACGGTAACATAAGGAGCCACTGTTTACGCAGCGAGCTGATACTTTTCGCCGCATCCGCGCCATATCCACGGTTCTTCCGTTAGATAGCCTTGGCATCGCTTGACCACTGCAGGCACCACGAAACAAACTATAACGTGCTGCTGCCCGTGGGGCCTGTCTCAGTTTGGGATTGGATAATCCCAGGGCCCTAGACGTGGAATATTCTGGATTTTGCAGTTTGGACGTGCATTTCACCACTGGTGTTACGTTTGAGTGTGCACGTAGGCTATCTAGTGACAAACTATGGGGAAGGCTGAAAAGGGCACTCCGAAATGGATTGCGAACAAGGCTAAAGCAAAAGGACTTCAAAAACTTAGATGGTATTGTCAGATGTGCCAAAAACAGTGCAGGGATGAGAATGGCTTCAAGTGTCATACCAGCTCCGAATCACACCAGAGGCAGCTTCTGCTGTTTGCAGAGAATCCTGATCAATATTTGGATTCATTCTCTCAGTAAGTTAGCCATTAACATTTGTCATGGGGGGCCTATTGCCCAAAATCGACGCGCCTACATTCTGGAAACCTCTTAAAAAAGCATGGCTTGTTTGTTATACCTGCTCTGTGGTGCTCACCATGTGATTTGTCTTGGCCAAAGTATTGAAGGGTAATTATTAACTTAGCAGTTTATCCTGTGCTGGTTATTGCATGCAGCTGTTTGTTCACTGAACATTTAAAGTGGATCACATAAGTTAGCCTGACCTTACCAAACCTAACCTAGCCATACCTGCCCCACTGGTCCCAACTCCTGTCCACACCAGTGTGCCTGCATCTATGCATAATTCCCTTGCTCCATGGCATGTGAGACTTCCATCAGAGACCACCTCACATAAATATACAGACAAATTTATATTCCCCATCAATCGCTAGGTGTCAGTCATCAGTGTTATCACTCAGTAAATTGTATTGTAACTGCAGAGTCATTTCTTGCAACCAAACAATCACCATTAATTCCATATCACCTTGTTCCAGCTATGTTACAGCAGACACTTCTTTGAGAATATAAAACTTATTTGAGTATAAAAATATAAAACAGTATGGCTCATTTGTTGAGGACATAACTGGGGTAAAGGCTTCAGTTTATTTTGACAGTTTTAAGCCTGTAAGGCTTCTATAACATAAAATGAGCCCAGAGACACAAAACAGAGTGTTCAGAAAATCTGAATAAAAAACAGCACTTGCAGAGACAAGACACAGTCTGCCCCCAGAGAGCCTCCTTGGGTGAAAGTGAACACCATGCCACAATTTAGTAACTTTATGTACAAAACTCTGACTATGCTACTGCCCGACAGCGTCATTCGTGCCAACACTCAGAAAAAATGTTTAAAATGGATCTGCAAACCTCCAGAGATAATAAAGTTCTGTGACCTGACATGAGCTGGGGCAATTGTTTTGCTAAACATGCATAATGACAGTTGATCATCAGTCATCAGATCATCAACATCAGTTGATCAGCTGAAACAAATGGGAAGAACAAAAAGAGAGTGAAGAGAACAGCAACAAACTAAAAAAGGCCATGAGCTCAACAAATTTCACAGCACTGCCAAGTAACTTTTTCAAACTAATGCCCACAGCCATATCTGTCTTACCTGCACTTATAGTTGACACATGTATCATTACTTTCACTTCCCCATTAAAGAGGTTATATGGTGTTATCAAACATTTTCATGCAATAACTAACCATGCAACTCATCAGCCACAATCTAATAGCATGCCAAAATTGACTTTTGTGCAAATTGTGGTAGTAGGGCATCAAATGTGAAAAGCTGCATTGCACATTGGCACAGGAAATGCCCAGTGGGAAATATGGCTCAGATGGATCCAGTTTATCTTGTAATATGTTCAGCCCACTGTTTGTTGATTGTGATGTCGTGGTTACGATTTTCCTTTGATGGACTGGTTAATCTCATGCTAGTTGAGGCTGCTCCCCACCGGAGAATGGGACGCTGTCGTCCTCTGATGTCCGGACCGCGTGTGCCGTCCAGCGGAGGGGCGCGTCGCGGCGGTGAAGTGAGCGCCGGCGGCGGCTCGCTCAGCGCCGGGTGCCTCTCTCACGGCGCGCCGCCCCTGCAGGGAGTTCGAGGAGGGCTACCTGGAGCTGCTGCGGCGCCGGTTCGGCACCAAGCGCGTGCACGCGAACAACGTGTACCAGGAGTACATCGCGCACAAGGAGCACCTGCACATGAACGCCACCCAGTGGGAGACGCTGACCGACTTTGTCAAGTACCTGGGCCGCGACGGCAAGTGTACCGTCGACGAGACCGAGAAGGGATGGTTCGTCACAGTACATCGACAGGTGAGGCCCGCTGGCGGCGCGGAAGGAAGGCGGACGGAGGTGGCTGCCACCCGCCGGCGGCCGGGCGCCCGGCAGGCATGCCAGCCGGGGCGTGACGCCTCCGGGGCGGATCGCGGGGAGCGGCGGGAAAGGCCGGTACCGGTCTGGACGTCAGCCCGTGTGTCCTGGATGGGGGGCCTGACAGGTCTGAGTCGCGGCGGGAGCTAGAGAGAGGCTCGGCCGCCATTGCTGGGATAACTGAAGCTGCGATATGCTGTCTTTCGTAGGTGGCATGGGGGCGGGGGGAATTCAACAGTCATAGCTAGGTGGCGCCAGTGAGGCCTGAATAGCTGAGTTTGGCTGAGACATGCTGCTGCCGGTGATGCATAGTTACAAACAGCTGACAAAGACAACCCATTGGTGGGTTCTTGGCTGGTTTTGGTCGCAACGTTGCGTTGCTCATGAACTGGCATGCCTCGAATGGTTTGGTGTGTCATGTGTACTGAGTAATGTGTTCATTAATTCTTGCATGGTTGTATTTGCTGCAATGCTTGCACCACGTGCAATAGGTGACTGTCCGCAAAACAGTCCGCCAGTCAGTGCTTGTTTTTGTGGTATAAACCGACATGAGAGGTGTGGGGTTTCATTGACTTCATGCTTTTGTTATTACTTATTTTACTTGACAAAGGTAAACACCAGACACCAGGTGCTCATCATCCATGTCATATGAAAACAAGTTTTCGAAATCAGTTGTGATGACGGGTTTTGCGTGGCAGCGTCATGTCAGTGAAGCCTACGTCACATTAAGAGGATCAACACGCGCTCGCGTGGCCGGTTGAATGCAGCGCATTTAACACCGATGGAGGCGGGGTCAGTTTGACCCCCTATATCTAAAAAGCTAAGAGAGGTTATGCTAGGGAGATGGGAGAGAGAGAGAGAGGGAGGGGAGATATGCTAGATTCAGGCATGGCCCTATGGGATCTCATTTGTGTCAAATTTTTAGGTCCCTGGGTTCTGATCTTCGGGTAAAGTCAAACAAAATCAAATTCGAGCTCGGTACCCGACGTGCTGTTAGACCTCATACAACCAGCTTTTACTTTGGTGTGTTTTCTGAGCAGGAGGTCACTTCAGCTCATATCAGGCCAGTGACGTTATTTGACATTGAGAAGTTCAAGCCTACGAGGCCTTTTGAGTTTTTTTTAGACATTTATATTTAAAATCAGTGTCAAGAACTACAGAAGGCGGCATACTCCTGAATGCAAAAGGTTGGTCAAGGTCATCCAGGATCTAGGTCAGTGTAAGCGTAGTGTGGGGGGGGGGGGGGGAGAGGAGGCGCTTAGTTTCATCGCTGTGTCCGGGTCCTATTCCCTGTCGGGGCTGTGACCTATGGACGTTGGTATGACCACTGCATCTCTTGACGCTCCATGAGAGGTTGTGTGACGGCAACGCGCTCGGGTTTCAGGTTGATTATACAGCACCCTTTCGAATCTGGATTTAGATTAAGGCAATGGGATGTTTTTATACGCATATTTTTGGCAAAATCACGCAGGCTGCAGGCGGTTACAGTTTCTGAGAATTCTGAACTTAAAGCAAGCTGTTCGGACTGTCTTACAGGAGAAGTTTCGGGTACCAGTGATCGGCAAAGTCGTCGGTGATTAGACAAAAAGAGACCAAGCAAAGTAATGATAACCCAATACAAATACAGTGATAGCGCCCTTGGTGTGTTTCGTTACGGAGTCGTTTGCTTGCGTTCCTTCTGCGGTCTGTAGTAGCTTTTTCCTTCTTTCCCTTGCGACTAATTTTCTTCGCATTTCGACGATGCTACGGCGACGTATGGGCAGCCATGCACCCAGGATGGTTGGTGCCAATAGGCGGCGCCTATGGCTGTGTAGTGGAAAGCAGACGTGGATCGGGATAAGCTGGTGTCAGTGCATCAACTGAATTGCGCCATTTCTGTTTTGTGCTATGTTGATCTGGAAGGGTTCTCGACGTCCCAAACAGGGAAGGTCACCACTGCTTCCCATAAACAGTTATGTCATGTGTATTGATAGAACGTATGGGTACAGTATTTAATTCGTTTCCTAAACACAAGTGACTAGCACACGGTTAACGGGAAAGCAGCAGGCAGAACAGAAATTAATTTGCCAGCCCATTATTCTCACGAACATTCATCATGAACCAATGCTGTGCAGCGTGTGGCTTGTGCACTATGTGGCCGAGCCGAGATTTGACGTGGCCTCCGGCCTTCTAGGGATCCGGAGACGCTGGCTCGACAAGAGGCGCTGCTCAAGAAGGAGAAGATGGACAAGGATGACCAGGAGCGCATGATGGAGTTCATTGAACGCCAGGTCAGGTCCTTACGTATGCATGCGCGCGCACACACACATGAGGCGTGCGTATAATGCGCATACACACCGTATATATATATATATATATATATATATATATATATATATATATATATGCAAAGACGCGACTTGGAGCAGGCGGGCTAATGATAATGTGAATCGCAGCAGTTGGGAGTTCCCGTAGTGTGCCAACTGTCACACGCGAAATGAAACGGTGTTCGCGCCTTCGCCATGAAAGTAAAGGACTAAGGAATTGGCAGCTTCACTGTGCTTTAAATGGCATAATGAAATGGTGCATTACTGGGCCTGCTGGGCAGCTACATCATTTCATGATCTGTCCCTGCTCAGGCCGAGAACGGCCGGGATTAATTCAAAAATTCGAATCGCAATGGATGGCACCGTGGCGTGCGGTCACAGACCACACAACAAACTTAAGTTGCAGTATGTACTAAGGTCACAGGTCAAGACCAAATTCTTAAAATGCTTTCCCATGGGATGTCTGACAGCCCCCATAGCGTATTCCATTAAGAAGCGTGTTTTATGGTGCGAAATTATTGCGCCCTGGTCAAACATACTACGTAGGCAGGTATCCAGTGTTACGCGCGCCGTACCAGGCCTAGAGCGAAGGTCGCGTGCCGTGCAAATGAGAGCTGAAACCTTGGTCTAATTGTCTATTTTGATCTATTTATTTCCGTCATATTTGAACCATCTAAACACAAATTGGGAGAGCTTTCCACAAATAGGGGTATCAGTCACGTGAGCAAGAGATATCGCTTGTTCATAAACCGTCAAAGGTCAAGGTCAAATCGATGTCCTCGGTGGTGGATGAGCGGCTGGATCGATTTTCGCGTTATTTTCGACGGTTCAGTCCTGCCGACGGCGCAGCTTGATGCCACTGAACCCCGCGGGCAGTCACGTGGGCGTTGGTTTGCGCGTGAAGCTGATAAACGGTTTCCGCCGCCCCGTCACCGCGCCACAGCGGCAGACCTGCGCCCCGCCGCCCGTCACGTGGGCGTTGGTTTGCGTGTGAAACTGATAAACGGTTTCCGCCGTCCCGTCACCGCGCCACAGCGGCAGACCTGCGCCCCGCCGCCCGTCACGTGGGCGTTGGTTTGCGCGCGAAACTGATAAACGGTTTCCGCCGTCCCGTCACCGCGCCACAGCGGCGGACCTGCGCCCCGCCGCCCGTCACGTGGGCGTTGGTTTGCGCGCGAAACTGATAAACGGTTTCCGCCGTCCCGTCACCGCGCCACAGCGGCGGACCTGAGCCCCGCCGCCCGCCGACTGTCGACCGCCGGCCCGGGCCCACATGGACACGGCAAACGTGGGCCGCGATGTGTTTCAAGCCATAGCTCGCTCATTGTTACAGATAATTGCTTGCAATTTGGTGAAAGCATCCTTTATAGTCTTGTCTAGGGCCTGTTCTTTCATGTTTCCAAAATTTTGAGTCGTTGGTCCAAAAATGTCGATTGAACTTTTTATCAATATTTTTAGCATTTGATGTACCAACATTTAAATGTGCAAGAGTGAAACAGCGCAAATATGATTGGTAAAATGATTGTGGCACATTTGCAGTGTACAGATATAAAATATGTTCTTTTTGCCGGCTTCTACGTCCATTTGTCTACGGCCATGCCTTTTTGGTCAAAAATCGGCAAGCGTGACGTCCTCTGACATCACTCACGCTTGATCTATTATGATTTCATAGTTGTTACTATGACACTAGGCGTATAACTCACTTTGGCACAAAGCGTATAACTCATCATTTGACAGCTAATACTATTGAGCAGCGATATCTGAAGGCGCTGTTGAATTATAGTGAGTATTGGACAGGGGCGGATTTAATCCCCGCCCCCGCCCACTCCCAGGCAGTGCCGGGTTAAACGACCCTCAGGCAATGATTGAATACCATGGACAATCAGCCGCAGAGAAGCATCGGCATTATCCCATGTTCGACGCGTTCGAAGGTACTGTTCCTGTCACGGCTCGTCTATCGCCTTGGCGCGCCTCACGCTCGCCGCAGCATCAGCCGGAGTGGTGAAGGCTGGCTGCTGGGCGACGCCGGGTGTCACGTCACGTGTCCGTCGGCAGGTGGAGAAAGCCCGCGAGCAGGGTGGCGAGGCGGCCACCGCCGAGTACACCGAGCTGCAGCGGCCCGACGACGAGCGGCCCATACGGCTGGGCCTGGCGCTGCCTGCGGCGCGCAAGGCTGAGCTGCGGCCGCCGCGGCCCGGCGCCAACCTACTGGCGCGCGAGGGGCCGACGCGGCCGAGCGCCTCCGCCGCCGCCTCCGCCTCCGGCAAGAGGAAGATGAGCGCGCTCGACGAGATCAAGGCGTTCGAGGAGCAGAAGAAGGAGAAGATGAACAGGAAGGACTACTGGCTGACAGAAGTGGGTGTACTGGACGTTACTTGTTTGTGGATGGTCTGGACATGCCGTGTTCAATGACTGGTGTTCGGATATGGTGCTGTCTACCCCGTTCGCGTACTCTGGCGGCGTTCGTGTGATTCCGACCTCCGTGTGTCATCCATACTCATCATGTCACCAAGCAGTGCCTCGGGGCCTCTTGTGTCGCCGTACCGGGGTCACACCAGGTCACCAGCTGCTGCTCCTGGTTTCCACCGGCTGTCGGAGCCACCACGTCACCAGGCGGTGTCCGCGCTGCCGCAGGGCGTCGTGGTGAAGGTGGTGACCAAGGACCTGGGCGACAAGTTCTACAAGCAGAAGGGCCACATCACCGAGGTGCAGGACCGCTACCGGGCCGTGCTGCGCCTGCTGGACGGCGGCCACAAGCTGAAGCTGGACCAGGCGCACCTGGAGACAGTCGTGCCGGCCGTGGGTGAGGCCCGGGGCGCACGGCTGGGGGCGCGGGAGCGGGACTGAGAGTGGGAACGGGGGCGGGAGTGGGACGGGGACTAGGACTGGGACTGGGACTCGGGTCAAGTGCTGAACACCGGGTCAGTTGCAGTGGAGCGGAGGCGGGAGCCGAATGCGAACAGGAGCGGAAAACAGTAGTTGAAAACATGAATGGGAGCCGGAGACGGGTTCAGAGTGGGCCAGGACGGGAAGATGACGGGAGACAAGATCGAGCTGGACACGGGACTGGATGAAACACCAGAGTTGTGTGGGAGCGGAACACCGAGGGCGAGGAACCAGCCTGAAGGGGCTTGGTTGGTGAACACACTAGGCGAAAAACAGAGAAACGCATTGGTGCGACATTAAACAGAATCAAATACTATAGGATACTCAGGTTGTCATTCAGCCCGGTTTGCGTGGACGACACGCTTGGGTCCCGTGTGGAATAATCTGACATGTTAGGGCAGAAAGTTATGTCCACGTGACCCATACCGATTGTCACAGGCTCCGTGCTGTGACGCAGATAGCATGTGTATTGTTTTCCCCTCATTGATGTATTTTGTGTCAGTTATCTGTCCGCGTATGACGTGCGTTCATGCATTTAGGCCAGCAGTATGGTGTTTCACACGTTGGCGTGTGTAAGCGACGCCTGGTCTGCCGATGCCATTTAGGCTAGCAGTATGGTGTTTCACACGTTGGCGTGTGTAAGCGACGCCTGGTCTGCCGATGCCATTTAGGCTAGCAGTATGGTGTTTCACACGTTGGCGTCTGTAACCGACGCCTTGTCTGCCGATGCCAATTAGCCCTTGGTCCCAATGTCACATACAGGAGTACGATGTGCTTGGAGAATGTTACGGTTCGGCATCTGCTGCGGCCAGGCCACGGACGTGGCGTGCACCGTTCTGCACGGCCGGCGTCCTGAGAAACCCTCGCTTTGCTAGATTCGCCGCGCTCATCTCCCTGCGCGCTGTGCCCTGTCAGAAGTGTACGCGTTCTGACGACGTCGCCAGCGGGGCGGCGCCCGTCAGCCGGCGGCCGGGATATCCTGGCCCGCGCGTGACGTCATACCGTGCTGGCAGGACGGAAGGTGAAGATCGTGAACGGCGCGTACCGGGGCGCCACGGCCACGCTGGACGCTATACAGGAGAAGAAGTTCTGCGCGTCGCTGACGATAGCCGAGGTGAGGGTGCGGAACGGTCCGGTGCCAGCGCCGCTGTACGTAGTGCTCGCTGGCTCACAGGCGTCCTCGCAGACTTGTGGCGAGACGGTGACATCAGAGACACATTGTGCTGTTTCGATGGGTTTGTGAAGAAAACATGTTACGGTGGACCTTTTCTGCTAGCGTTGTTCGCTTCTGTAAATGGGCGCAGTAAGGTTTCTTCTCCCTCGTGTGCCACTCCATTGACAGAGCAAATGACGCGTTACGTTCTCGGAGCGTCCTAATCAGTGTTGGTCCCCCGCACCAATACTAGGGCGTTCCTGTCGTGGCGTCCGTGTGGAGTGCGTGCTCTCGTCCCAGTCGGAGCCCCCCCCCCCCCCTCGGCCTGTCCTCTGACTCTCGACTCCCGCTCCAGGGGCCGCTCAAGGGCCGTCGGCTCAGCCAGGTGGCGTACGAGGATTTCAGCAAGCTGCACGTGGCCTCGTGACGCGTCGGCCGCGTGTCGCCGGGCCGCTGGCGGCTGACTGTGATACGGGCCGCGGGTGCCAACCCGCGACCTGATTGGGCCACCACCTGTTAGCGCCGGGCCAGGGACGGCGCGCTGCTCAGGCCGCCGGACTGTGCTGCCACCTATCGGCGCCGAGCCCGGGACGGTGCGCGGCTCAGGCCGCCGGACTGTGCTGCCACCTATCGGCGCCGAGCCCGGGACGGCGCGCTGCTCAGGCCGCCGGACTGTGCTGCCACCTATCGGCGCCGAGCCCGGGACGGTGCGCTGCTCAGGCCGCCGGACTGTGCTGCCACCTGTCGGCGCAAGGCTGTGCAGAGGCCCGTCGGCGCGTGACGTGGGCAGTTTTTGGCGCGGGACCGCGCCGCCTCTGGGCGCACAGTCCGGGGCGGCCGGCGGGTCCGGTCCCCAGATGCGCTCGGTCGATGTTTGGACCGTGGCGGGCGAACTGGGGGAGTAGTGTCATGTTGACCTGGCAGTGAAGGCCCTTGTGCGAGAACTGGTGGCGGTGGTCACCTCTAATGGCTGAACGTGTGTCTCGCGCAAGGACGCCGCAATTGTTGCTCTGTGGACGGACGTGCCTGGCGCTGCACGTCGCGTGTGGGGCGGTGGAGGCGCGCCTCCGCTTGTATTGATCTGTCTCCGGCAGTAGTACCCGTGTGTTGTGTGCCTGAACATAATGCTTGCCGGCCTCATGAACTTAGCTTCCGGAGTTTAGCCGGCCGGTAATGTTAACGATGGGCGGTTCCAAACGTGCGGGTGCGTGCAACGCATGGTTTCTCCACATTGCTGTCAGGAAGAACTGTGGGGGAACCATTAAACTGCTTTGAGAACTTTTGTTCCCTTCGAAACACCATGTAGGTCATCCAAGAATCCACTAGGTTTCGGTAGCGATGATTCATTGCATTCCAGCTCGTCGTTTATTTGGCAGGCCGAGTATTTTACCATGACTTGTGTAATCCTATGTGGCGGCAGGCACCAACCTGAGCAGTTCAAATGTATCGCGTGTGAGACGTCGAATGCATTGTCGCTAACCGTTTGTGGTAACGGTGTTTATAGCTTTGGCGCCGAATTATGCCGTGCCTCATAATTCGGCAACATCGTTTGTGATCTAGCGCAGAATGCTCGGAACGCTTCGGAAAGAAATTCTTACAGACGTGCAGCTCTCACGTAGCATGCGATTGTCGCGAACGTCGCTCACGGAAGACAGATCAAGAAGTTGGAGTCTGACTGCATGTGGTCTGCAATACGACATTTGTATGTTCATCAGCGCTTGGTGCAACTAATCGGGCACTAAACCGCTTAAGTGAATCGACGGTCTGGGGCCGAATGGCAGGCTTGCCTGGGCGTAGCAGCTCGACCAGGGCCGTCGCACGGGCATGCCCGCCATCAAGATGGTCAGTGACGCATATCACTGCAGCGTTGTAGGGAACTGGTGAGACGCTGGCGTGAGGTTCGAGGGTTCTGTGGTTCGGACCGAGAACTGAGTTAGCATCTTGTAGCAAATTCCTTCATCGATAAGCGAGAAACAGCTAAAACTTGCTCCGCAAGCCGCTCCGCAGGACCGAGGGGTCTCGGAGTCGCCGCTTGGCGGATTAGTCATGTCCCCAAAGCCAGATGACATGGATGTCTGAGGCCGTTCCACCCAGAACTACAGCTCTATGGTTGTGGACGTCTGGGGGGGGGGGGGGGGAGTTACAACCACTTTCAACATGAGCTATGAAATCTGACGCTGTTTGGAACTCTTGGAAATTGATTTCCCACGGTCAGATAAATTTTATGTGCAGTACTAACTGCCTGTATAAGAACATTTAAGCGCTAAAAATTAAACCGCCTTGTCTTCAATGGCATTTATTTTTTCAGCGTGCCTTACCTTCCAAAAACTACTTAACTGTGCCGCTCACTCACCATCCAAACGCCCGCCTTGTTTCACCAGCCGTTTATTGACTAAGCACACGCCCTAACACGGTTTCACAGCTTACATTGGATTCCACGCCAAAGAGCGGAGGTGGGCCCCACACGGAGGGGGGCGGGGAGGGCGCGGCGGCCCTCGCCGGCGGTCCCGCGGCGCGCGGCCCGACCGCGCCGCTACTTCCTCGGTCGGGCGGCCGTCAGGCAGGCCACGTACTGGTTCTTGTAGATGAGCGGGCTCTCGTGCTCGTTGAGGAAGTTCTGGGCGGGCCGCGTGCTGCGGTAGGGGTTCTTCATCGGCGGCAGCAGCACGTCCACCTTCTGCTCCTGCTGGATACGCGCCACGTCCTGCGGGCACTCGAGCATGGTGTAGGCGGTCAGCACGAGCGGCACGCCGTCCGGCACCAGGTGCGGCAGCGTCTCGCGCCACGAGTCGCGCCGCTCGTGGCCCGTCGTGCGGTACAGGCCGGCGTTGAAGGCGCAGATGGCGTGCGGCGGTCGGAACTGCGGGCTGCGGCAGTACGTGTGGTAGTACGTGCTCGGCTGGAACTCGCACGTGAAGCTCTTGCCGGCGGCGCGGCACGGCAGGCAGGTGAAGTCCTCTTCGGTGACACCCGGCCGACTGCCCGGCACCTCCAGCTCGGGCCCCACGAACACCACGTGCAGCCGCCGCAGACGCGGCAGCACGTTCAGCAGGAACACGTCCCACTTGGTGATGCTGTCGCACTCGGCGGCGAACTCAGCGCCCACCACATGCACGGTGAGCTCGGTGCGCTGGCTGATGTGGGCTTCCTCTGCCACTGGGATGTTCTGCAGCGCGTACAGTAGCGTCAGCGGGTAGGAGGCGTTCTCGGAGAGCGTGGCCAGCTCGATGCCGCCCATGCCGTACGCCTTGACGGGGCCGAGCATGCTAACTACGAGGAACTCGCGGATGTTGGGTGGCAGCGGTTCGTAGGTGGTCAGCATGGTGTCCGGCAGCGGCGGATCACACACGCCGTTCTCGTTCTGGTAGCAGTGGATGTCGACGAGCAGACGCAAGTCCTTACAGAACTTGGCGTGGTTCTTGCGCAGGTGTTCCTCGCAGCAGTAGCTGACCGAGTGGCACTGGTGGCAGGTGTGCAGCTTCTCGGGGGTCGTCTCGCGGCAGGTGTCGCAGACGCGTGGGTACAGGAACATCTCCTTCTCACACGCCTCCATCGGGCGTCCCAGCATCTCCTCGCAGACGGTCATGTGCTTGAAGCGGACCTTCTTCCACTCCTCGTGGCTGGTGACGTTATACGCCTCCCGGTACAGATGGTCGGTGCCCAGTTTGCGCATGCGCTTGGTGACGACCTTGCAAAGGGCGCGGTGCAGTGGCCAGTGGGCGCGCTGGTGTTCAGCTGAGCAGTAAGCCACCAGCCGGCAGCTGCCGCACGACTTCAGTCGACACTGCTTACTGTGCAGCCGCTTGCAGACGAAGCACGCGTGCGCTAAGAAGACGGGCCGCGCCGGCAACATGTCGTAGCCCTGCTGCAGCAGCGAGGCGTACCGCTTGCCCTCGTCGTCGGGACGGAACGGCGCGCCGTCCGCCGAGCCGGTGTGCTCCGGTGTGCTGGGCATGCTGTCCGGCTCGCTCTGCCCGGCTGGAGAGTCGGCCTGCCGGCCAGCGGCCAGCGGGACCTCTGACGCCGGCGGCTCGGCCGCGCTCCGTCCGGACGTCGCAGTCGCCACCGACCCGGGGATGAGCTCTCCGGTCTCGTCACACTTCGCCGCTCGGGTCTCGATCGGCATGGCGCCGTTCTCCGCGGCCTCCCCGCCGCCGCTGGTCGACTTTGTCTTCTTGCGCCTCTGGTGCCGCGCCTTGTCTTGCGTCACAGGCGGCGACGGGAGGCTCTGCCGCTGCGGGCCGCTCTCGGCCGCGTCTCCGGACGCTGCGGTGCCGGAACCCGGCTGCTTTGCAGCCTCCGGCCGCGCCAGTTCGCCGCCGACCGAGTGCCCGGTGCCCCCGCCCTCCCGCGCGACGGGCTGCTCCGCGGCCGCAGGGACCGGCTCCGTCTCGCTCTTCCGCTCGCTCCTGCGCCGGCGCCGGCGGGGCCGCTTCGTCTTGGCCGGCGGCCGATGCTCGCCCGGCGCCGCCTGCTCGTCGTCGCCCAGCTCGTCCAGCTCCAGCTCCGGCTCGGTGCGCAGGCTGTCGAGCTGCTCGCCGGGCGCCGGCTGCTCGCTGCGCGGCGCCGCCGTGAACCCGGGCAGCGCCGCCATGGTGGCCGCGCTCTGCCGGCCAGCCAGCACCACGTCCTCGAAGTACAGGTCTCCCACCTCCGAGCCGAGGGAGAGCGGCGGCGAGGCCAGGCTCGACGGGCCTGTCCTCGATGGCGGCGCGACAGGCTGGCGAGCGGCGCTGGGCGGGGCGTCGCGCTGCGCGTCTGCGTCTACTTTGCCTAGCGACTGCGGACACGGACTGGCTTCTACGGTGCGCTCATGGCTGGCCGAACTAAGGGGTGAAGAAGCTGGCTTCGGCGGAGTTTTTTTTAATGGCCCCTGCTGGTTGTCGGGCCCATGCGCGGGGCATCCCGCCCCGCCACCATGCAGGCCCTGGTAGAAGTTAGTCTCGGCAGCATCGTGCAAAGCCTTGTCGAACCAAGCCGCGGCCGCCACCTCCGTCAAAGCGCCCGGCGGTTCGCTTTCACTAGACGTGCTTGCACGCGGCGTACGGTTCTTCGTCTTCTCGCTGTTCTTCCTGCTCCGAGGCTTTTTTGGCTTGTCCTGCGGCTTGTCGTTTGGTTCCTGTGCGGCAGTGGCTGGTGATACGATAGGCTGCTGCTTTTCGGGCACCTTCTGAGAAACCGTGGTGGGGGGAATCTGCTGCTCCCCGCCGTTCTTTTGGCGTTTCGAATCCGCGTTCTGTGAGGATTTCTTGTCGGACTGAGACGTTTTACGCTCTTTCTTTGCTTTTTCAGACTTATCCTTGCTCTCCTTGACTTCATCTTTCTGTTTGTCAATCACCGATCGCTCTAAGGCAATTTTTTCTGCAGTATCGTCCGCAAATGATTCCTCAAAACCATTCTTGAGGTCGTCATCCCCACCCAGGAGTAGGTCGAACGCGTCCATGGTCGGAGCGCTGGACATGGGACCCTGTTTTAGCCCTTCCATCTCAACCTGTGACTCCTCACCGAACGCTTCCTGGAACCCTTCGGTGAGGTCCATGGAAGAGGACATGAGCAGGTCGAAGGCGTCTTGCTTGCTCTCTGCGGCCGCCGGCTGCGGCGGCTGGTCGGCGACCCCCTCCTCCTCCAGTGCCTCCTGTAGACCATCGTGCAAGCCCTCCCCGCCTGACAGCAGCAGGTCAAACGCGTCCGCCGACTCATTCTTGCGCTCGGACTCGCTCTTGCGCTCTGACTCGCTGAGTCGCTCGCTGCGGCGCCGCTTGCGCTTCTCGCGGCGCGTCTCAACCGGCACCCACTCCTCGGAGGTGGGCGAACTGGGCGAGAGCGGCGCCGCATGCGGTGGAGAGAGCGCGCGCGGCCGCGGGTCGTACGTCGGCTCGGGGCTCTCCTCGCGCGGCGGCGGCGGCGGCTGCTCCACCAGCGGCGGGCTGGCGGGCGGGTGCCGAGCCTTCTCGGCGTAGGAGGCGCTTCTGGCGCCTGCGCCGGCGGCTGGAGCGGTCGCGCCGCTGGCGAGCGGACGCTCGTCGGACACCATCTGGGTCAGATTGATGGCGAGAGGTGCCGCCGGTGCGGGCTGCTGGACGACGCCGCCCTCCTGCCGGGCGACACTGGGAGCTGTGGCCGTCTGGGCAGGCGCCGCACTGGGCACGACATCCGCCGCAGCTACGTTCCGCTTCTGTTGGGGCTCAGCTGAATTTCCCGCGTTAGAAGCTGGGGCGCCGACGATGGGCGGATGTTGGACCGGCCCGGGGACTGCTTGATCTTCTCCTTCGCTCAGGCGTCCACCTTTACGCTTGTTTCGCTTGGACTTCTTGTTATCCGCTGGTGTTTCTCTAGCATCTTTCTTCTGCTCAGTCGCAACCACTACCGTGGGCTTTTCAGAATCTTGTGCCTTGTAAACGTCGTTCTGAGTCGTCCGCTTCTCATCTGTTGTCTTTGTCTTGGTGACATTGCAATCTTGTTTTGAAGCGCCCTTGACTGTCGGGGCACTTACAGCGTTTCCGTCTGCCTCGTCTGGTGCTGTCTTCTTCGAATGTCCCTGGCTTTGCCCCGACGACTGCATCCCTGTCAACTTCTTAGCCTCCTGGGGACTGGCGGCTTTTGCCGAAACTGGACCGACGTTTCCCTGGCCCGGTGGGCACGACGCCGGCACCGGGACATGTCCGGCCGGTGGAGCTGCAGCCGATCTGGCGGGCGCAGGCGGCGCTGCCGCCGCTGCCGGCGGGCGGGATGCCGCCAGAGCTCCAGCTCCGGTCACTGCCGGCTGGGTGCCTCCCAGCTCGGCCTTTCCGGCAGCTGGGGCGGCTCCGGCGCCCGGCCCGCCCAGGCCGTACGAGCGCTCGCACGCGAGCCGTCGGCGGCGCTCTCGTCCCGACTCAACAGCGGCCCACACATCCTCCGTCATGGCCGCCAGCGTCAGCTCCTCGTTCACGGCGTTCTTCCTGCGCACCATGGCCGGCAGCGGGCCAGGTCCGCCGCCGTCTGTCTTCCTCCGGCCCATGAGCACCTGAGAGAGACCAATGTCGGGTCAGGCTCGCCACCCTCCTCCGGGCTGTCAACACCTGAGGGAGGCAGCACCAGGTCAGGTGCACCAACCCCCGTCGTTCTCAGTTCCACGGACACCTGAGGGAGGCAAACGCCATGTGGGTTTAGGACTACCAACACCTGCTCTCGTCCATCTCATGAACACCTGCGGGAAGCAGGTGTCGGGCCGGGTCAGGGCTACCATCCTATTTTCTCTCCTGGCCCACAAACATCCGAGGGAGGCACGGGTGAGGTCAGGCTCACCACCCTCCGTTTTTTCCATCACATGACCACATGCAGAGACAGGTGACATGAGCATCATCGACGCATCGTTACGGTAAGAACTTAAAACATTTGACCATGACTTTGAACCAGGTTATATCGCACAAACTCCTTGTTAATGCTGCCGTTCTCAGCCGGCAGCAGAAGCAGTCGTCGTGTCCTCCCACGTTTCATGTCAGAATAAGGTCCAACAAGCTGTGTCGACCAGAAGAGGAACGGTTTAGAGTGAGCATACTGATCTGTATACTGTTTCATTTTGGATCCGGTGTGCACGTCCTCCAAATACCTCGTGCTATAAAGTTGTGCCGCGACGTTTAATTTAACTTTTAATTCATGGCGTAGTTGAAGCGACAACATAATACAAGTCAAGTTAATCTACAAGTTGCTTTCTCATCTCAACAATGATATCAACCTGCACATAAGCATTATTACATATCAACAGCAGAATATTGACAACAGAATCGTTTGCCGCCTTGCTCGTAGTCTTCGGCCGTCCGGCAGGCTGGTGGTGAGACCTCCGACCCCCGCGGTCCGCCGACAGGGCGCGTCCCTGCCGCTGGTGGCGGAACCTCCGACCCCCGCGGTCCGCCGACAGGGCGCGCCCCTGCCGCTGGTGGCGGGACCTCCGACCCCCGCGGTCCGCCGACAGGGCGCGCCCCTGCCACTGGTGGCGGGACCTCCGACCCCCGCGGTCCGCCGACAGGGCGCGCCCCTGCCGCTGGTGGCGGGACCTCCGACCCCCGCGATCCGCCGACTGGGTGCGCCCCTGCCGCCGGTGTGGGCGCCATTCTCGACCGTCATTAGTCGTGCACAGATGGCGCCGACCCAGTGGCTCGCAGCCAGACCCCTGGCTGTTGGGGCAAACGGCGACGAAGAGTGGGGCTGAGCCCCAGACTGCTGCGCTGGGGAAGGCATCGAGGGATAGCACGTCACCTTAACGCCTTGGTGAGAAGCTTCGTCAAACATGGTGAAGCCAGGTCCTGATCTAGTGAAGGCCGCAGGCAGGGGTTCTAGACCAGGTCCAGACTGGTGAGGGATGTAGCCGGGGATCTGATGGGGCCATATCTTGCTATTGTGAGACACGAAACGAGTGATGGCGAGCAGGTCTCAGGCTGATGGGGGACGCAGCCGTCCAGGGTGGGTTCCGCTCGATCTCGGGCCGATGAGGGGTGCAGTCGACGGTAGGACCGGGCCCAAGGCTGTTGAACAGGAGGCCGCAGCCGGAGAGCGCAACCTCCGGCCCAGACTGGTGGGCGTCGCAGTCAGGAAGGGTAGGCCCCGGCCCAGACTGGTGGGCGTCGCAGTCAGAAAGGGTAGGCCCCGGCCCAGACTGGTGAGCGTCGCAGTCAGAAAGGGTAGGCCCCGGCCCAGACTGGTGAGCGTCGCAGTCAGAAAGGGTAGGCCCCGACCCAGACTGGTGAGCGTCGCAGTCAGAAAGGGTAGGCCCCGGCCCAGACTGGTGAGCGTCGCAGTCAGGAAGGGTAGGCCCCAGCCCAGACTGGTGAGTTACGTAGTCAGAGGGGGTAGGCCCCGGCCCAGACTGGTGAGTTACGTAGTCAGAGAGGGTAGGCCCCGGCCCAGACTGGTGAGTTACGTAGTCAGAGAGGGCAGGCCCCGACCAAGACTGGTGAAGGACATAGTGAGAGAGGGCAGTCCCGGGCCCAAACTGGTGAGGAACGCCGTGAGAGGGCACTTCCCGATTCGATGCCAGCCGGAATTGGCTTCATTCCAAAGTTCCGTGTCGGCCGTCGACGCACAGGCGCAGCGCGGCGCTTCAGCCGCGCGTGGCGCCCTGACAGAATGCTTCCCGTCCGGCGTCCTGACAGAACGCCTCCCGTTTGTGGAGTGCACGCAAGGCGATGCAGCGCCTTGGTCTGACAGCAAACGGAATGTTGGGCGTGTGTTGTCTGTGGTCCGGTATTCTCGTCTTTCGCTGAGCTGCCCTCGCGGCGGTACTACGGTCCTGGTGCCCTTTGGAGGTTTGCCAACGGTGGCAGTGCAAACTCGGAGGGGAGTTTACTTGTCCCGGCGGGGCCAGAGTGACAGTAAATATTTACCGACGGTCCATGTACTGGTATAGCACGTGGGTCTTGTGAAAATCTCACGGACGAGGTGTTATCTCCGGATCCAATTTGAATAGGATCTGCTGTCAATTTGCCCCATGTATTTGCTATGGATGTTATAACATGCCACAACATGTTAGCATGTCAAGCAAGTCCTGATCTGTTTGGTAAACTCTTGCAGCAGCGTTTAATCACATCCTTCAAACAGTTAACCGCGAATAATTTCTGCCATGGATACGTTCTGTAACTCGAAAAAAATACTTGAAACATTAGGCTCAAGGATAGATATAAACTAACAGAACATTGCTTAGGACAACATGGCTGGAAGGATCGATTTGCGCGTGGGTCAGATATTGCGCCAGTCATCACGCCAGTATTGTGGAGTTGCCAAATTACCAAGGGATGCGGGCATGCTGTGCAGTACGAGACCCACGCATCCTCGCAGCTTGAGATTCGGACACCAATCGCATGTCAGCTTACAATAAGCAATCCGACTCACGAGCATTTGCATCTCTATAACCCTGAACGTGTATGAGCCTGCTCGCATATCCACAGCGATGAAGTACGCGGCCTGCGGCCATCAGCTGTTGTTTCAGTGCCGCAGGGGCGGCGTGGCATCAACAAGTAAATCCTTAAAACAACGTGTTTGGTGGGACTTCGAGTAGTACATGCCGTACAGCAATGCTGCATGAGCCCCGAGCGTCTCCGAGCGATCTCCGACCATTATCTCCGAGCGCGCCTGAACTCCGAGCTCGTGCGGACAGTCGCAGCCATCGGCTCCCTGCCAGCCAGCCCTGTCTGGACACGCCTCGGATAGCCCTGTCTGGACACTCCCCAGACAGCCCTGTCCGGGCGCGGCTCAGACAGCCCTGTCTGGACACGCCCCAGACAGCCCTGTCTGGACACGCCTCAGACAGCCCTGTCTGGACACGCCCCAGACAGCCCTGTCCGGATGTGGCTCAGACAGCCCTGTCCGGGCGCGGCTCAGACAGCACTGTCTGGACACGCCTCAGACAGTCCTGTCTGGACGCTCCCCAAACAGCCCTGTCCGCACGCGGCTCAAACAGCCCTGTCTGGACACGCCCCAGACAGCCCTGTCCGGACGCGGCTCAGACATACTCGGCGTGCCGCCGCCGCTCACCAGCCGCAGCCCCTCCCATGCTGCCGCGGGCTGTCCCTGCGGCCGCCGCCGGCGCTGGCCGCCTCCAGACCGGGCTCACTAATGGTCCGGGTTGGGCGGTACAGATCGATCGCTCACGGCCAGTGCGTCTGGCCCTGGCACTTGTACAACAGCACCGTTCGCTGCAGATGTACCAGTCAGCGGCTCAGGGTTTACCTTGGCACCGGCGCTTCCACTATTGCACAACCGTTTTCATTGATTCGCCTGCAGCCAACTCACTCTTCATCGCGATGTCAACATTTACCAGCGGAATATGACCGTCGATTGGATTGTCTGGCATGTTTGCATTACGCTAAACACCATCCAGAACACAAACACAGAAAACCATTCTTAATTGCGTGGGAATATTGAGCTGATGCCATGCTACTGATACCCTCATTCACAAGATCCTTTCAAAATCTAGATGAGGCTTGTGCCCGCACATGCTATGGCCGATTGCTACATCGCACTGATTTTTTTTGTTAAGGATGCGATCATCTGAGGACGTTGCCCGCAATCACTTCACCCTGTCCTTCCCCGCTGTTATACCACCATCACAGCCAACTATCACGTCAGACTGCCACCCCGACTTTCACATCATGCTATCACGCGAAACTGTAAGACCATCACACACAACTCTATTTCCATCTATCACACTATAAGACCATCACACACAACTCTATTTCCATCTATCACACTAAACTATCACATCAAACTATAAGACCTCTCTATCTATCACGCTAAACTATCACACCGAACTGTAAGACTGTCACACATGACTGTCACATCAGACTATCACCCGCGAGCGACACATAAGCCTGTCACATCCGACTGTTCAGCCAGTAATCACATCGTATGTCACGACCGACTGTTACGTTCTAACTGTTCTGTTCTCCTCAGCTGTTACGCCTGACATAAGTGCCAGTGGTACCGATCGTCACACACGCCTATCATGCCGGATGGTCACATACGACTGTCACATTCGAGGGTGGTCGTATGTGTCACGTACTCCCGAGGCTGCCACTGTCATGGCTGACTCACATATGAACATCACATCACATGCCCTGCAAATGGTCTGAGGTCTGAATATGTGTATTTTTGGGTGGTCTCTAACGCTATTGAATCAAAATGTTCTGACAATCGATGCCGAATGCTTTGGTGCTGCTTGCTGGGACACGAAAGCCGATTCAAAAAATTACCGGAGATGATGCTGGTTGCTACTCGCGCTGCGAGTTTAGAGCCATGAGCGAGTGAGTAGCCGCGGAACTAACTCCGATCGCCGATACTGAGCCCTGTGAGGCCATGCTAGTATCATCTGACTCGGCACAATACCCTGTCAGTATTGTGCTGAGTCAGAGTGCTAAAAGTGGACTGCTCGGCAGTGTGGGGGCCGCTTTTGATAGCGTCAGAGACTGTGTGCTGCAGCAGCGCGGCGGCACAGCCTGCGAGCACCAGGACGAGCCGCGCCCGCCTGGGAAC